TTGTTCAAGAGTTTTACGGCTTTCCGTGCTACCTAAGTGTAAGGAAAGACCGCAGATTGCCATATTTTGCTTAGAATGATTAGGTAAATTAAAGTGTGTAGCGACTGCTTTCGATGTGTCCTTGTTGTTCTCAGAATCGGTCACCTAGTCTTCTGCCTGTTTCGCCGATGTATATCTTTTTGCAATAAGAAGAAGTTATGCAATAGATTACATTGGCGGAGGTGCACGTGAAGTGCACGCCACTTTATGCCGTAACTGACCACTTTATGTACAGAATCTCGCTCGAAAATACTACTTTGATTTTGGTAGAGAAATATGGATCAAAAATTGATTAAGATTATTCTTGATTTTATATGAATGGACCTGCTCTCAGTGACCGTCTAGTACAGGTGGAGGACTTAGGAGATTCCGTTGAGACTTAGTAAGGGGTAACCGCGACAGCTCAATAGAGACGAAAATAAAAATGATTAGGGGAAAACAAATTCGGGACTTTGACAGCTGACCGCTTAATATGGTGCCGCTTAAAACAGGTTCGACTGTAGAAGAGAGGAATGGATTTGGCAACGGATGGAGACGATGAAATCAAATAATCGGCTAGAAGCTTGATTCACGTAGCGGCTTGATTCTATTGAGGTCCAGCAACCATGACATGCATCTATCTCTTTTAAGGGCATAACATTTGAAATGAAATTCGCTTACCCAAGAACTTAAAGTTAACAAATCGACAGTGGTTTAGCGTGGTCTGTGCTGATGTGCTGTGTTTGTTGACCACTGTGATGACGAATATCGTTGTCGATAAGAGCACAGACCTCGCTAAACCACTGTCGAATATCAAATAAAACGATTCTTTCAGTACGTGACATGTTGCGTGACACATTGACGCGAACAGCGTTTGTTTGTGCTCTTATATGGACAACGGCAAATTGGTCAATCAGATTGCGATGTTACTACCAGTTGTGGTGAAAAGGTATTTTTCTATGCAGGTGATGAAATCTCTAGAAGTTGGTCATTGGGTGGATGAAGAACCCTATGAATTATCAGACGCATTCCCTGCAGCACAGGTGGGTAGTCTGTTATGCTTACTTGGAGCTTACCCTTTTTCTAAGATAGATCTCAGATCTCAGTCAGTGATGTGTGTTTATTTGCTGTTGGGTTAAGCTTTGCCGCCTCGAACGTGTCAGTGCTGGGCCGGGTTACCACCAAGAGCTCTTTGCTGAGTGTCCACCAATGTATGTCTCCGAAAACTGCGCGCCTCCAAGGGACTCTTTGATGTCGTTAATTGGCCTCTGTGGTGGAAAGGTAAGATGTAATCAATTTTTGGTGCGATTCATTTTGCATTGTCTGTTTTGGACAGCAAAGCTGGCCAACGCAGTGACAAGAGCTGGTGTAAATGGCCAAGCGAACCAACCAGAACTCAAGGCAAAACACGCCTTAGATGCAGCGTGGGCGAAAAAACCGCGCGAAGATCGCTTAACACGCGCTGGTTATAGAACTCTAGGGAAGTTTAAACTACAACTGACCATTAGACAGCCATTTAAAAATAGCATTAAAATATTGCCACCTTGGCTGGGAAAGCAGCTGGGCCGAGTTATTACAAAAATGGTTTGCACCAATTCAAATTAAATGCTATAGGATCACGTATCGATTTATATGCAGTTACATGTGTCTCAGGACTCGTGCTAAACAACCTGGTCTTGTATACGAATACGTTTTCTCGCTTATGTCAGCTCGTGAAAAGGTTTTACTCTTTATCCTCAAATTAGTCAGTTCACCCTCTTTTCTAAACTTTCCTTTCGTTTTCAACAAATGTAGGTGAGCACTTCTTTAAGAAATGCTGGGATATGCATTGGCTCAATGACAAGGAAAACACAGGTGGTGAACGTTACAGAACAGTGGATTCTCGGTAAGTCCTTCTCCTACTAAGTTTTTCGGACCCCAAAACAAACAAACAAACGAACAAACAAACAAAACAAAACAAAAAAAGAGAAAAATCGTTCTCGGATGAGACTATACTGAGGCCGTGCGTAGTAGAAAGTTCCCGTTATCAGTCTAACAGGGCTCACGGTATCCCTTAAAGTTTCACCGTTTGACCCTTGAGCTCACAACAGTGCCACATGTGTAACTTCTCTTTACAATAGAGCAATTTTCAGGTAAGTGTCAAAAGTAATTTGGGACTGGTTTGGGTCTGCATGATTCACTGCGTTCTGTGATGGGTTGAGAAACTCACGTCATCTTCTCAACCAGTCAGACACAAAACCAATTCGCTCTGTCGAAAGGCTAACGCTCGAAACGTCAGCTATTTAACTCTTTACGGTGGCCAATTTACAATTTCAACTTAGTTGATAAAACCAAATTACCTAAAACCAATCCTGGTTGCCCGTGTTTTCGCGCGCTTCAAGCAGTTTGGTTGTCATTTAAGTTCTCACTGGCTCTTTGAGACATTCACCTTGACATTCACATTCATTCACATTCACATTCATTCATTCACATTCACATTCACATTCATGCTTATTGGCCGTTACGTTTACTTTGATTTTTGTTCTCTAACACTCAATCGAAAATCGCTCTCTTAATTCATTATCCTTTATACAGCTGGTGGCAATCATCAACAAACTTATCAGTTAGAGGGTGTTTACCTTAGTAGAAGTAAGAGAAGAGACTCAACGAGTTATATGATGTGAGATAAAGGACTTGTAGGTTTCTAGTAATGGAGCCTCCTGGCATCGCGTGTGGTCGTAGCAAGCAAATGTTTGGAAAGGAAATGGACTTATCCGAAGTTCTTGTTTTGACATTTAAGTGGCGATGCTCTATGTGAGTTTTGATTTCAACATTGCGGAGGTCGAAAAAATACTAAAGCTCTACTTCATCACGTCTTTCACCGTGTTGCTCATTCCATTCCTTTACCTTCTCATTGGAAACTGGGTTTGTATGTTGGTTAAATACACCTGACCACCAAAAGATCGATTCACCATCTTTGGAGAACGTGCTTGACTTGATATCTTCACTAGCGCTTAGAGAATCGTTATTCCATGATGATAATGCATGGACGAGTATTGTAGTCTACAGAAAGAATTTTTAGTAGAATGATGAGAGATGAAGATAAACCTCGATTCTTGTTTCCCTACTTTTATTTAGATTGTATTACTCAACACGCTGTCTTGCCATTTGCCAGCTTCGCTCTTAACACTCCAGCAAAGCGAAGACGAGATGCTAGTCCAAGTTACTAAGGGTGATTGTTGTCATAGTAATTGTACAGACTGAAAACGCACTGAATACTATTAGCCCGCTGCTACAACAATCCTGACCGAATAGTGCATTGCCAGACCTGGGTGGATGACCGGTTCCCGAGCAACACTCTACGAGGCCAAAGATATCAGATGGAATTCTGCGACCATTTCTAGACTAAATCTTCTAATGGAGACGTTTGTATTAAACTTCTTGCAAAAGCTGAGAAATGTAGATTTTTGCTGGCACCAGTCGCAGGGAAATTCATTTTAACATGATAACTTCATCAACGATAGAAAACGTTTTGTACTTTCCAAATTTGCACGTCACTCGGAGTTTCGCTTTTTGTCGTAGAATGTTATAAGACGTTTTGTGCGATGTTAGATTAAAGCTCAAGTGTCGTATGAATTGCAAGAGAATTTGGCGATTGACGGAAGCGTACGAAAGATTTCGTCTTAAACGTGACAGTACGATTTTACGATTGACCTTGGTGCCAGGGGGAAATCAGTGAAGATTTTAGCTTGTATCTACTCCGAAGTGCATTTTTACTTGATAAGTTCCTCAACTGTGGTAAAAAATACTTGCATGAATGACGGAATTTTACAATGGAGAGAATTAAATACTTTTGATACCACGTTCCATTAATCTCAGTGAAGTGTCATATGGATTCCAAGCTAATCAGCCTTGTTGAAAATGTTCGAGAGCTGTCTTCGAAAGAGGGACTACACAATTTTATGATGTTTCATTAACTTGTTTTAAAATAAGTCAGTGTCAAGTGAGCTAAAGGGCAGCTAAGGAAAAAAGGTTTTTATGGATAAATCAGGTGAGAAAATATTTCTAATTCAGATAGATTCTAGTATGCTGATTAAAGAGAGAACAGTTATAGTTCCAACGATAAGAAAAAGCCTGTTTTTGAATGTGTTTGTAGATGATAACTGTTTTTGAATATAATAAAAGGAGTGTCAACTTCCCCGTCCTTCTCGTTGAATGCGAGAAGCTTCGAATTCTACCCTCCACATAAGTGAAACCAGTCGGCCAGCTATCGAAACTGGAGAGATGCAATAGAAACTTACGAACTTCCCTTACTATTCGAAGGAATGCATATTCAATGTCATTGGCAAATGTGGAATTTACAAGAGAAAGGGGGGAAGAAAGGAAGCTGCTTTATTTTAGTTTTTTTTTTTTTTTTCACAAGCGGAGTATTCAGTTTGGTCCTTGTTATCATCAAGTTTTCCACCTGACCCCAATACCTCAATACTTGACTGTTTGAATTCTTGGCAGCGGAGAAAAATTGATACTTCACAATGCCAAATCACTGAGGGGTAGAGTCTACAAGTGACCTCTGATGTACAATCCCCTGCCGTATAACAGAGGGGCTGACGATTGATGAGTTTGTGCTGCTAACAGTGTTTGTTGTTATGTTATGACCTGACATCCATCTTAAACTATGAAAAACCGTGAGAAAAAAAAAAAAATTGGGCGGACCTGTTTTCCTGGTCTGCGGAATACAACCCGGTTGTGAAAGGAATCGAAGAATATCGACCTCAAGCGTCGGCAGAAAGTCATGAATCCAGCCCAATCCACTGCAAAATCAATAGACAACCTCGAAGTATATAAGCGCATTTAAAGACGATTTAATTCAATTCTACCAGACTTAAGCTTTTAGTTTATAAATACAACACAAAGATAACTTTTTCACAGGAAAGACAACAACAGTTACATTTTATCAGTCGTGTCAATGATTTTTCTTTCCCTTTGTCTCCTTGAGGAAGTGTGCAAAGAAAACATTTGGATTTGTCTAGTTGTGTGGTCGTTCGATTCATTCTTGTCTGTTCTTTTGCTCTGCAGGAGAAACGTTTGAAGAATGTAGATGCTCTGAAGAGTGTCACAATTGATTTTATAACATTCTTGACCTTCACATGAGCAAAAACTGCCTGTTTGTTTTGCTCAAAATACTTCAGATGACGGTGACCTGTCGTAGCTCGTTCTATCATCGTGTTTGTTTTTATTGCTGGTTAGTTTCTCGTCATGCTTACCTATTTTGAGCGTAACAAGTGAAACTTCTTTGTTAACTAAATTGTACCATGTAAAATTAGTTTACGGGGGAACTGAATAACGTTATCCTGTAAGCCTGGGAGGGTCCGGAAAGAGAAAAAAATCGCCAACATGCTGTGCAACTTAAGACTTTTTTTTTTCTCAAACATGTGTAGCAGCTGTTATCAATCAAAGCCAGACGTTGTAATGAAATCGTGATAGTGGAGTTTGTATTCCTTTCCTCCTGTAAAGTGTCGTTAAATTTTTGAAGTACGTCAATTTGAAATTGTTACTTGTTTGCCATTTATTTTTTTTTTTCTCAGTTCAAAAAGGTCTTGAGAATTGGAACTTTGTAATGAAGCTACCTAGCCAAAATTGAAAAACAAATAATGACGGTTGCCAAATATGGTACTTAATAGGATCCCAGGCCGGATATACAGACAGGAATAATGATTTGTCGCTAAATGTTTGATTTTGTTTGAGAATTTAAGCAGAGACTTTCCTTACTTTACCACGGGTTTCCTTGCTGACTTTATCTTCCTAAAGCAGGCGTGTAGCCGTCGAACATGTGGGTCACAAACTCTATGGATGTTTTTCTACCCGAGTGTAGTCAAAAATTTGGTACAAAAGTTTCAATGAGTGTGGTCGGTTTGTTCTCCGTGGGAGGAAATGACGACCGAAAAACAGTACACGTGAAGTCCTTTGCAACTTCTCCTCTGTTCTACATGTTTTGCCAAAACTTTTATCCCTTACCAAAGATCTGAAATGGAAAACGATGAAACAGATATGTATCTAATTAATTGTTGACAATCAGTTCAGGGGTCAGAACTTTTGCAATAGTTTACTAGGAATGTGTAATGGTAATATAGTACACCCGAGATATACAAACTTCGATTTAAAATATTTACTCGCTGCAACCTTAAATTTATTTCAGGGTATCGCTTTCAGCTCGAAAAATAAGAACCTTCTTTCGAGGAAGTTCCACTAAATGTTGTTTCTTAACATTTCTGTCAAAAGACCATAACTACTGTTGGACTGTTGTAATTACATACGCAGTCACACCGACTGAAATCAAAACAGAATGTAGCGGGATAGGGATTCTTTTCACGGCTGTTTATAATTGGCGAGGAAAGGCCACTGGGCTGGTTAGATGCGGAGGAAAAATCGAAAAAAATTCCATAGAGATTTTTTAAAAATCATTTAGTCTCTCATGTGCAAAATCGATTATGGTAATTGTTCCAATAACGCGTGTTTGTTACAGTGAATTAAAAATCCATTATAAAGGCGTGCCAGCGAAGTTTTAAAAAACATCACGGAGTCGTCGCGTGTGGGTTTATAAAGAGCCTAAGAAATTGCATTTGTTTGTATCTTGTTAAGCAATAGCCAGGATTAGTTTCTGACAGATGGATTTGATATCTTGCATATGCGCTATTTTATGCGGCTTTGGTTTGTTTCATTTACAAACATGCTCCCTTTGACTGCCCCTAAATAAACGTTTTAGAGGAAATCATTTCACCGTGTGTTGTCTTGTCGCCTTTAGCTGGCTGTAACGAAACTATGTTTTAAAAGGGCAATAAGTCTTTAATCTCATAGCTATGTTACAAGCTAAAAAACATTTTAACTACTTAATTTTGTTTTTACATTCCTTTGGTTGGTTTTATAATATAAAAATAGGCTTTGTGGGCTTACAAGTCACGTGAATTACGTTTTGTTTGAACAACTGACAAATCACGTGAAAAACAAAACAAATTGTCATTTGCAAGTAAAAAGGTTCGCCGCTGTGAGCCGCAAATTTAAATTTCTCCCCGACAACAGCCAAAATTCTCCTAATACGACTCGGTACATTTCACGCCTAGCTAAGCATATTTTTTCCGTACAAGTCCAAACGCACACGGAATGTTCTGGTCATTTTCTAACTGTCAGATTCTGCAATCAAATATATGAACGTTTTGAAAACTTTCGGAAGCTCTTCGAGAGTCTCTTGCTGTTCAAATATAAGCATCCCAGAAAGTTCTATCGCAATTTGTTGTTCGCTTGCTCAATTTTCGGGTTGGGATCGAAGAGGTCTTGTAATCAGTGCATCTTCTTCACTCTCCTGCTAAAACAATAAACATGAGATAAGTCAGTTATCTCTGGTCTGGAACAATGTGAACTTGGGTGAAGTGCAAGCAAACAGTTCCCGTGTAAATCTGGTAAAAGTGGTATGTGCCAGAGTGTAACATCTGTTGAATATTATCGTGATCCTCTTCAAACTGTGTAAGATTTTGACGTTAACGAGGAGAACGTGTCGCCTTCAGCTGACCATATGGAGCTGGGTTTTATCATCGAAAACAGATTAGTTCGCTTCTTACAAGTTCCTTCCTGTAGTGCGTGGAATTAGGAGCAAACTGCCCCCGTTTCTGTTCGATGTTCAACAGATTTGGTTCTTATGAGAGCGCGTTATACTTCAAGATTATGCTTTGTGGTTTACGTCAAGTTCAGAAAACAGGAGCCCCTTCTGAAATGAAACACCTTTCTCGTTAAGCAAAAGCCAGAAGTTTCTTAAATTAACGAAAACAAATTTTCCAGACAACCCGTCTTTGAGTCGCTGGAGAATATACGGTTGGCACACAGTTCACAGGTTTCGTTCTGGCTCGCAAGCGTCTGTTTTGTTAAGGTAGCCCAGCTGCTTAATGTTAAGGATTTGAGGGATTTTGAGGCTGTCTTTAGATTCGTCCTTGTCGAGACATTTTTCCCATTTAACTTTTTTTTAATTCCTCTGTCCTGATGCACGAAACAGGAGGCAGTTTCGAACGATTTGTGCAGTTTCCGCAAGGAAATATGTCGCTCATCTAACACCCTCGTAACAATGTTACTCCCACAAGAGCGAATACCATTCCGTTAAAAACGTTATTACTCTCCTCGCACCGTTTTTTATCTGATATTTGAATATATCAATACTTTGACATCTTCATGATCTTGAATATCGACTAAATCTCTGGGTTGAACGTGCCCCATTCCGAAGGGTTGTGTGCCCTGAACCGGTTTAAATAGCGACGTGGATTTAACGAGTAGACCCTCTGTCGCTTTGAAATACGGGCTGTTTATGATTAGTTCAACCTACCTCTCACTTAGCGATTGTAAGAAATTGTCTTAAGCGGAACTCGACTAGTCTTCTTATCGGCTGAATTCTTTACAAAGTTGTTCATTTGGAGGTTCGGCAGTTCCAAAGCTGACTCGAGATCCTGAATGTAGTCAATAACGTGCTGTAGAATTTCGACTTTGCTCATCCTTCTGTTGGCAGGAATATGTGGTACCATGGCTCTGAGCCTTGCGTAACAGTCGTCCATGTTGTAAATGCAGCCTTGTTCGAGATATGAAGCACTGGTATTACGCGCACGAGCTCTAGAAATACTTGAAGTCGTTGTCGTAGTTGAATGCAGGGAATCCTCCCTGGCGTGAAGGCCAGACTTGGCTGATTGAGGCTTCATTCTGGTGTTTGGTCCGAAGCAACGGCGAAGCAACGATCGAAGGAGTTCACAGATGTTCGTCGCTTAAATTCTGTGAAGGTATTTGAACGCGCGCGGAAGCAACTGTGTTTTGTCCAAGTGCTCTCTACGCGGGTTTTCTAACTCGCAGCTGTGCAAACTTGGTGACAAATTTAAACCAATCGCAAACAGGCCTGACATGAACTGGAAAAATCAAAACACGGCTTGAAATATGTCAAAAAATCTAACACGACAGCCAATCGCATATAAGATCTCATCGGAAGCTGACTTTTCACAATTTTGTGTCATGTCGTCACGGGCACCTTGTCTCTCCCATGAAAACATAATCACGCCGCACACAATATTGATCTTTCCTGATTTGAATTTCATAATTTGTTGCTATTTACAGATCCCTAGGTGTTTGATAGCCGATATGCGATGGATTATACCGTGCTCGGCGAGTTGCGCAGACTAATTACATTTTCACTTTGTGATTGGTTATTTTAGACTAGCTCACTTTTAAGTTCTCGTCCAGTATCACAATTCAGTCACACGGGCTATGTTTTCTAATCTCATTTAATGTAACACACCCCTAACTTGTCTGTGTTTTTTTGTTTTGTTTTGTTTACCTAACCCATCGTGGACCATTAGCCTCAAAACAGCTGAAATAACTCCATGGTGCATGTGTAAGTGGAAGTTCTGTTAAGGCCGCCGTGTAGTGTTTCACGCGTTTTGTTTAGCGCGTCACTACATATCCTTTTTTAAATACAGCTTATTGGTTATTCACATCCCATTAATTGCCTGCTTTTAGAAACTCAAAATCAAGTTATTCCAAGCATCCTTGTTACCGCTTAAATTTCATTACAGCTTTCCTCCACAGCACCTCGACAACCCAAGTTCCAAATTTCTTTTTTACTCAGGAAAAAAGAAAAGTTGTTTCTTAAGAAAACAAATCCTAACTTCGTTGTAAATGCCTCTCAGCACACGAGTGTTCAGTAGTTTATGACAATCGTATTCGCCTAAAATCTTTAAAACATAATTTTTCTGGTGTCAAGACATCTGGTTTAGTTTTGCATGAAAGTCGGCTGCTGTATCTGTGTCAGCCTTTTGCTACACGTGTTATTTTTTTAAGTTCGTTCCCTTTTGACAGATTAAGAAAACGGAAGTGCTTTTCCTTCCCAAGGTTTAACGAAGAATAGGGTTTACTGAGGTACTCTTTCTTCGCCTGTTTTCAAAAGCAAGCGAAGGAATTTACAGTAAGTCGACTGTAAAATCTCTATGACGAAGAAAATGGTTATAATCGACAACAGCAGCATTCCTGGACGGAATTGAATCCGATCCTAGTTTACGGCATAAACAGATTTTCTTCATCCTGCCTCATAGACATTTGTTGTTTAAATCGAACCACAAAACGGTTCGATGAAAAGTGAATCTTATCTCTTTTACACTGCGTTGAGACACGATCTTGAGCAGGGAACTATAACTGTAGAAGACATAAAACATACGCTCAGCTGAGGGCAGCTGTCGTGTCTATAAGCTGTTAAGAGACACCCTGTAAGCTGTTTGTCTTTTCTGTTTCCCCGATGCGTGACTAGAGCCTCTCATGACAAAATTCTGCGTTTTAGCCTAGCCTCTTGCTGCCGAGTCTTACTCGGAGGTTCACTGGTAATTCTGATCCAAAATTTCGCTTTACAAACGTTTTTTTCGTCCTCTCTCCGATCAGAACGTCTTGATACAAGCTAAATTTTCTTCGCCTTATCTATCAGCGTGATCAAGCTTACCTAACACGCGTGTTACCGATTAGCTCTGACTGGTTTATGTAGATTAATTGGAATTTACGTCTGTGATGAGAATTTAGCAGCTTTTTTTGCTGTCGCCATGTTCACGCCTCCAGTGTCAGACACATTAGAGGTCAGGCGATGTTCTCCATTAATAGTTTATGTACCGAAGACCGCTTTTATAGGAACTTGGAGTCGAAATAACTCCCTGACCGGTTTCTTGCGGGTTTTTTTTTTTTTTTTCAGCTAGAGTCAGGAAAATACTGGGGTAGTGAAATTTCCTCCACCTGAATGAGGTCATGAACTTGTGATAAGACATAATTTATGGACGTGGTATGACAAAACTGCTCCGGAATAACGTGACACGCACAGCTTATTCCCCTTGCGAAAGCCGCTCCGGTATGTCGCACGGAAAACCGCGTACAATGGGGAGGAGGTCCAACTCGGGCGCTTTGCGCTCGAATGTAACTTTACCCCGTCCGTCCCCCAGCAGGTTGAAGCTTCTCCTTTGTAACTTGAATGCGAATACCGGCATTGCATTGTGAAAAGACAAACAGTCAGGCAAAGTTTTGTAAATAATCATTAGTTATCGCTCGCCAACAATTGTTGTGGTAAGGGAGTCAAAATATGCCCGAGCATTTTATACTACGATAAGTAAGTACTGTTTTTTGAATGCGCTAAAGCATTGAGGGATAATGCAGCATTAAGGAAAGGGAGCCTCATACTTCTAGCTTGTGTTCCTTTTGCCGTTAGTGATCAGACAGCAATCACTGAACCTGAATTATTTTTGCGTTCTTGATCGGAAGTTGTCGAAAGGCCCGCAAAGCAAGATTTTGCGAAGACATTGTCACTTGGAAATTTAAGAGGGCCTACAAGTCGGCTGACTTTTTCCAATACATCCTTTGCTAGAAACCAGAAATATCTCGTGGCATCACTTTTATGTAATTTCTCTTCGCGTTCGCATGGCTTTGAACGTGATTTGGTTTTTTCGAGTTGTTTGCCGATGCATCTTTGAAAACATCCTTCAGTGATGTGTCCTTGTCTCCACGCTATTCTTTATGAAGACGAAAAAATTTATACACTTATTTCTCAGAGGTTTATGTGCTATCTCATATTTATTCTCTATTTTACTATATATTACAGTCTTGAATAGGTCTTTGCAACCGTTCCGGCTTTAACAAAATATTTGCTGATGTCGCAAAACAGTCAGTGTTTGACTGTCACGCGTAAATGTGGGCTACTTTAGTCAAAAGCAAAGTCTGGTCTTTCAAATAACTCTCTATTACTTAAGTAAACTGAATTAGTTCTTTAATCTATTTCTCTCTATGTAGGCCTGTGAATCGTGACAACTGATCTCGAATATTCTAGCAACTATGTAAAAAAAAGTTCACTATAATTTTTACTCATGTCACAGAACGTGCAATTGCGTATTATTGTTTTAACAGTAGATATACATTAGGTGAACTTTATATGTAAAGGGCTTTACCCACGGCAACCTTCTAGAAGCACGTTGAAAAGGACTACTAAACAGTACTGTACTAGTATATGAAACTTAATAATGATACTTGTCTTAATCATCATTTCTACTGAAATTAATGAAACCTTTGTCACCCAGATTTCTGAGACCAGAGCATCGGGGCAACCACTGTTTCTTTGAAAAGCACAGCTTTGCCCAGTCAAATCTAAAATGAAAACTAACTATTCAACGCATTTAAAGAAAACTGCTATGCAAGAAAGGAAGTCCACTCTTGTGCTATACTACAGCAGGGATTGATTATCAGATCTACTCCAATACCTGAATACAATGATTACGCATGACAGACACAACTATTCTACCATCACTCAAAACCCCTAAAGAGACTGGGGTACCCAAACATTCCTTTCCTTTTATTTCAAATTTTGTTCTAAACTTTCCACTTGGAATATCAAGTAGCTGTACCCTGTGATTCAGTTTATCACAGACCATCAGCTGTCCCACCTGGTCAATTGACAAGCCTCCAAGGTCACTGAACTGCTTGTTTCCCATCCCCTCAGTACCGACCTTGTTCAAAAATATCCCTTTCCTGTCAAACATTTTAACACAATGGTCACCCCTGTCTGACACAAAAAGATAACTCTTGTATTGAATACAGTGACTGGGAGAGGTGATCTTACCCTGACCAAATGTATGCAAAAGTTGACCACCAGGAGAAAACATAACTATTACAAATGCTATCATGTCGACATACATTCAATTTTTCATTCTAAATCACTTTTCAGCCCCTTCTCTTTTCTCTCCATGTTCCGTATAAATTTTAAAATTATACTATATCCATGTATAGGCTATTAGTTACATAATTCAATTATTACAAAAATTCATCCATCTATTAAGAGTTATTGTACTCTTATTCATGCAATAAGGAAAAACAGGAGAACATCTACTGTTCATATTCACATGGTAAAAAAGGGCTAGAAATAATCATGTTGAAGCAACAGCTGATTTTAGTAATAAAAGAACAACTAACATCAGCAAAACTCTTTTGGCGGTAGGTGCAGAATTTTCTGGAAGATCAACCAACAATTATCTGATGTGAGTCAGAATCATCAAGGTTAGTAAATGGATTGATAGGCTAAAGCAGGGAGGGAATGTGAAATCTACTCAAAGATACGAACACAATGGTTCAGGAAATCTGACACTACTATCCTTCCATCGCTGAGAACAGCCATGGAGACTGGGTAACCTAAGCGTACTTTACCCTCTCCTTTCATCTCAAACTTGGTGTGAAACTTTCCACTCGGAATATCTAGAAGCTGAACCCTGTGATTCAATTTATCACAAATCATCAGTTGTCCTGCCTTGTCAACTGATAAGCAACATGGTTCATTGAACTGCTTGTTTCCTATTCCTTTACTACCAAAATTATTCAGAAACTTCTCCTCCCTATCAAACATTTTGATACGATGGTCATCCCTGTGTGACACAAAAAGATAGCTCTTGTATTGAATACAGTGACTTGGAGAGGTGATATTACCCTCACCAACTGTATGCAAAAGTTGTCCATCGGGAGAAAATATCTTAACAGAGTTTTCATGGCAGTCTGGAACAATGATGTTGCCATCACTGTCTACAGATATATCGTAACTGAACCTGGCGCAAAGGGATCAAGACCTGTGTTGCTAATGATCTGACAATTATACTCTCCCTCCCCACTGAAAAATTGTATTCGCTGGTTGCCACTGTCCCCCACAACAATCCTTCCATTTGCATCAAAGGCTATTCCAGAGGGCGTGTGAAATTGTCCCTGTCTATCTCCCTTTCCACCAAATGATCGTAAGTAAGTTCCATCACTGCTGAATACCTGAACCCTGTGGTTACCAGAATCAGTCACTGCAATTTCATCTCGTTCATTAACTGCCACTCCCCATGGCCCATTAAACATTCCCTCGGAGGAACCTTGTTGTCCAAAAGACAAGACGGGTTTGAACTTTCTTGTCTCAACACAAACGGCAAAGGGACTTCCATGAACATGTGCTCCATTTACATGTAACTTGAGTGATTCTGATGACTTAAAGTCACGCTTGAATCCAAGAAAATAACTTATTTTATAGGTTCCATCTTTGTTATCGAGGATTTGAGTTTCCAGCTTTTTTTTTTTTTCAGAAAATAAACCACTCACTTTTACCGTCAAACAGTCGTGTTTTTGGTAAATCTGTTCACCCTCTCTGTTCCTAGTTGTCAAAAATATATTTGCTTTCCGCCCTTCGTACGCTCGCTTGACTCCTTCTCCAGTGGCACTTGACAGATGTGGTCTGGTTTTGGTGGGATTAAGCGCTTCAAAGTACCAATGGTTTGATTGCTCACATAATCAAAAAACTTTTGATTTTTCAAGAAATCTTGCTCAAGAAGAGATACACCACCGAGGACAGCTGGGTCATCACACTTCCCGTCGAGGTCTTCTGCTGTTTTATTTTGACAAATGTTGTCTATGAATTTGTTAAGCTGAACAATTTCAGCGTTTGGACTTCGGTTACGAAGTGTTTTAGCTAATTCCAGAGCCTTCTCGGTGACTTTTATCTCGCGTTTATTCTCGCCATGCCTAACCTCTTGACGTTGCATTGACTCTTGACTTCAGTGATGATCGCTTGTTTCTTCGCTTCGATAACTGATATCAATTCATCAGCAAACCTCCGCACGCTTCCTTCTACATGGGCAGCGTTTTCTTGAATTTCAGGTCACTTTTCGTCAAAATTTCTTATTTCATCCTTCATCGCTTGTAATCTTTCTTTCTGAGATTCAATCTCTGATTTGAATTTTACCCTTTGTTCAGTTGCAGCTTGCTCCAAGGGTATCTTGACGTGACCGTCGTGATGTGTCAAGGCGCACTTGTCACAAACGATGGCTCTACAAATCTTGCAAATGGATGCCAGTTCTCTCTTTTCGTGTCCAAGCTTGGAACAAAATGCTGGCCGCTTCAAAGTCTTTTTCTTCGAAGTCTCTAATTGCCAAAACGCGATGTTCTTTATTTTCCCGCATAATGTTATGAGCAGAGATACAATTCTCACACCAAAATGTCCTACATCCGAAACAATACCAACTTTGAGCGCTTCTTTTGTCACAATTTCTACATATCACTTCAGTATTATCGTATTCTTTAATTGCCTTCAAATCTAGCATGCTGACAATGCGAAAGTTAGACGGTAAATCTTGAAGACCTCCAGTTTCTGGGACTTCACTTTCTCTTTCACACTCAGGGCATTCAATGATATCATGGCGGCTACTCGTTCGTGTTGTTCAAACAACGTAGACAAAAACTGTGTAAACATTGCAGTGTCATTTGTTCAACTAATGTGTTTTTACACTCAGGACAGAATACTTTTCTGTCCAGATTGTTTAGCAAGGTTCTTACATCCATGATTGACTAGCCAACTCTTTCGAGGCCTCAAACTCAAGTTAAAACATACATGTGACATGAAACATGCAATCTTGCTTTTCTCGATTGGTTTATTAGACGCGTCATGTAACGAATTATGTCCCAAACAGAACTTATAAAGACTGTTTATTAAGACTCATTGCAGCAATATACAAAATGGCTGAATTACAGAGCTATCTTCAAAACATATTATACTAAAGTAAAATACAATAAATCCAATAATACTAAAAAGCATAATTATACAAGCCACTAGGTGTACTTATGCGTGAGAAACTCTTGCGTGACAAACTCTAGCGTGCGCTTGGTCCTACAAGTAGGACGCGTGGAGCGGGTAATGCCAGATCTAAGATTATAATTATGCACAACCTCTTCCTGTTTAGGGAGCATAAAATGCAAGGGGTGAGTCTCATTCCGGAGTCTATCAATATAAACCTGGCATAGATGGGCGCGTCTGTCACTTAGGAATATCCTAAAGTATTCCTAAATATTTTAACCTTCCGTTCTTTAAGAAAAATTCTTCACTTCAAAACTCGAATGTACATACCGTGCAGTGCACTAAGAAGTTAGTCAAAGATGATGAACACGGTCTCCTTCATTTGGCACGAAAATATGGTCATATCCCCCCGGGCCATTTTGTTTCTTCCTCGAAACTCACAGTTTTCCTCGAGCTTCGCCAAGGTGTTTGCCTCTCGGAACAGATGTTGTACGAAGACAGCCCATATTTCGATATAGTGAGAAGAAAATTTCTTTATTGCAACGAATTTTGCCTCAGTATCCGTGTCTTTTTATATCATTTTTGTTGAGTTTGGTCACTAAGAAGTGACCTATAAACATACCTGGAAGCTTGCAGCGTTTGGCTCAGCTCCTAATGATAAAACTCAAACCTTTCACGTAGATTAGTTATTTAATTGTTTGCTTGAAGAGACCTAATATCCACTTATTCCACTAAATACAGTTGTCCTAAATTTTCAAGTGTGCCGCTCTCCCGAATAGAACTTCGAGAACGCGTGTTCGAAATTTCTGTTTGGTTATGCAAAAAAGGTGTTGTTTCTTAAGAAAAGAACACCATCTTGATAAATTGAATTGGCATCGAAGGAATTTTTTCAACACACAAGTGTCTGGAACAGTGCTAGCCTTGTATGCCTAGAATTTTTTAATAATAACTGACTTAATTCTTCCTGTGTTTAAACGTTAGTTTAGTTTTGTCCGAGAATTCTGCTATATCTCTGCCAAAAAAAAAAAAAAAAGTGTTAGTTTCTAATTTTCAATTCGACGTTTCCTTCGATAGGTACGCTTCCTTATAAAGTTTATAAACAGAGGACCGCCTTTCAGGAGAACCGTGACTTCTGGTTTCTCGCGAATTTTCCTCGTCGGAGTTAAAAAGAGTTAAATGTACCGCTCTTAATTGAATTTATCTAGACAGCAACAGTACACAATCTTCAAGTGACACAGCAGAAAGGCGCCTCTCTACGGTGGCCCAGAAGGGACAACGCTTCTACTTGAAAATGTAGTGTCGTTCTGTAAAAATGTAACTGTTCTTTTTAGAATTACACATCTTTCCTTAGAATTCTGCCATCGTTCCTTGTAAATGTGCGACCGTTCCTTAGAAAGATAGCTGTTCTATGGAAACAGTCGCAAGATTCTTCCGTAGAAATCTAGCCCTTCCGTAGTATAAGCCGTCGCTGTTCCGTAGAAATGTAGCTCTTCCGTAGAACTCTTTGCCTCTTCCGTACAGAACTGCAGCTCTTCCGTAGAAATGGAACGCTTCCGTAGAAAGTTCAAACCTGTGCGCGCGCATTACCATGGGTGGGCACTGGGCATTAGCGCCTGGCTGTAATTCGTTGCTCGCCATTTTGCAAACTTTACGATGTTTATATGTCAAGTTTGTGAAACGAAAGTGCAAGAGGGTGGAAAGTATTGCTATAACTGTGGGGCCGGAGTGGAATCTTTTCAGGATGGTAAATCTAAATTTAACTTTATCCCTTTGGATCATTGCTGTGAACGGAATTTCAATATTGCAATTTTGACAGTAGTTTTGTGATTTTTGTAGACCCCGAAAGGGAG